CTCCTCTCCCTCTCCTCTCCCTCTCCTCTCTCTCTCCCCTTTCCTCCCTCTCGCTTCCTTCCTTCTAAGATGCAGTCACAGTATATCACACCAAAGAAAACTAACGGCTTCCTGATATTCAGAAGTCTACTATATCCAACTTTTATCTTTTTTTTAGTAGTTCAAATTAGAATCTACATAAGAACTGTTCGTTGAAATTGGTTGACATATCTGTTGTTAAATCTCTTTAAATTCATAGGTTTATCTCCCCTTTCTGTTTCCTCAGTGTATGTATTAAAGAAGCTGGGAGTTTTGTCCAATCAGTTGACCATAGTCTAGATTTGGCTGATAGGACCTTGGGGTGGGGGAATGTGCAGTACTAAGGAATAGAGCCAGGGCCTAGCATAGGAGAGGCAGGCACTCCCCCACTGAGGTGTGTCTCCAGCCTTTCACAAAAGAAATTTAAGATATGGTCTGCATAAGTTGCCAGGCTGGCCTCAAACTTGGCCTCTTTTAAGTAGCTGAGATTACAGGTGTGTGCCATTGTACCTAGTTGTTTGTATCTTTCTGTGTTATTAAACTTTTTTTTTTTTAAACAGTATTGGTGATTGAACCTAGGGCATTAGCAGTGAGCTACATCCCCAGTTCATTTTTGTTTTTCTGTTTAAGGACTAAGTCTCCCTAATTCTCTGAGTTGCCTAAACTGGGCTCAAACTTTCCTTTATCCTGCCTCACCCTTCTAGAGTGCTAGAATTACAGGCATAAGCCACCACTACCATGTCCAGCTTAATTCTTGTTTTTTACATTTTCTTTGCATGCCTGCCTCCCTTCTTCGCTTCCTCTGGCCCCTCTCTTTTTTGAGATAAGTTCTCACTGTATGAACCAGGGTGGACTCGAGCTCTTGGGCTCAAGTGATCCTCCTGCCTTAACCTCCCAAGTAGCTAGGAATGTAGACATGCACTACCGTGCCCAATTTTAATTTGTCTTCTACATTTTCTAATAGTAATTAAATCTATTAAATTCAATCACATTCTAGTTTGATACCCTGCCTCAGGGAGTACAGAATACTTCACGGGTAGTGGTGTGTATTTATACCAGGGGCACATGTCTTTTTTAGTGATAATTAGTGACCATTGATTATTCCATAGATCCACTATCCTATTAGGGATTTCAAAATAATGGTAATCTAGGGGCTGAAGATTTAGCTCAGTGGTACAGCACCTGCCTGGCAAGCGCAAGGTCGTGAGTTCGATTCCTGGTACTGGAAAAAAAAAACCAAAAAAACCCAAATTAACAAAATAATGGTAATCTAATTTTGTCATCTTTTCATTTATTCGCTAAATGAAAGAAACTTCTTCCATATTTACTATTTGACTGGGTAAGAGGGTTTTCATTCTTACTGGATTGATTACTATTTCTAGGCCATGTCAGTCAACAGGAGTAGGAATACTGTATGTTTTTGTTCTCCTTTTTAAAGATAAAATACAGTTTGAGTTCATACTGATAATTCCAATTCAAGTCAGAATTTTATCTAGCAGATAGATAGATAGCTAGGTAGATAGGTAGGTAAGTAGGTAGATAGAGGTTACTGTTTTTTTGTTTTTTTTTTTTGTGTGTGGTTTTTTTGTTTGTTTGTTTTTTGAGGCAAGGTCTTGCTGTGTACCCCAGGCTTGCCTCAAACTCATGTCAATCTTCTACCTCAGCTTCTGGAATACTGGAATTATAGGTGTGTGGCACGAAGCCTGGCTTTCTATCATTTATATTAATGCTACTGTTCTTTCATCTATATTTGTATCTCTCTCCTGCTTTTAATGATACCAATATAATTATTTGCTTTTATTACACAAATTTATTATTTGTTATTTATTATTTGCTTTTATTATCCATATTTAACAGGCTAGTGTTCTCTCTCTCTCACACACACACACAGACACACACACACAGACACACACACACACACACACACACAGTATATCCCTGTACTGTATTGGCAAATTAATACATTTGAGTTACTTGAAGTAATTCCTAGAATGGGACCAGTTCAATACATAGGGACTTACTATTACTATTTTTTGCTTTAGTTTTTAGGAGAGCGTTATTCTTTAAACTTATTTTGACTCACTCTCCCTTTTTTAGATAAAGGGTAGTAAAGGGTAGTATAATAAACATTTCTGTCCCTACCTTTCGTTTTTCTTTCAGTGTTCCATCCTTCTGTATCTCCATGCCATCATCTAGCGCTCCTTCGCATTCCCTTCTTCTGTGTTTGAGTGGAACAGTTCTTTCTTCTGTGTCTCTGGTCACCTGTGCTGCTTTGAGTCAGTCACTGTTACCTGCAGGGCAAGTGTGTTTGCATTTTGAGGATTTTGCTACATTGCTCTCCATAATCATCATGAAAGATGACAAACGGCATCTGTGTTGAAAATTTTCATTTCTCTCGTCACTGAGGCTTACCATCATTTCCTGTGATTAAAGCCATTGCCATTTCTTTTTCTGTATGCATTATCTGTCTAGTCCATTTTTGAGGGCTGTGGTTGGTCCTAGTACCTAAGAGTTACTGTTTAATTAGCATAACAAACAGCCATTGAAGAGCAACCATAACAGGTACTGTACTTGGTGCTAAGTACTAATGTGAAAGACCTTTTGATACCAGTATCTCTTGTGTTTTCATTTTATCCCAATATCTTTGCTGTATATTAAGCAGAACTAAATTAAATGTTATAAAAATCAATGCTAAGTTAAAGGACAGCATCCTTGCTTGGAGAAAGTCAGAGTTTCATACATATGAGAGCTATTAAAGACAGCCTGCATAGCAGAGGCTGCTGACTCCTGGCCTGAGAGCCACAGGCCTGCTTATGTTGTGCTTTGCCGTACACTTTTCTTAAAAACTTGAGTATTCAGCATTTGAAACTATGAGCTTTGACATGAAAGAGAAAATTTCCCAACTGTGAAAACACTGGAGCCATACATGTGTGCTGTTTTCCATTCCTAGCTGGATGCAGTAGCTCCTCTCCTTCCGTTCTCACTGTTGTGTACTTCACTTCAGAACACCTGCATCTCCCACCTGGAGCTGATGCCACACATGGCTGCTCAGCGCTTGCAGTGTGGCCGGGGCAAGTTGGACTGTAAACTGCAGACCATGGAAGTTAAATGTGCAGCTTTGTCTCACTTCTGTTGGACGGAGAGGGCCTGTTGTCTTGTGTAGGTCCGGTGATGATGGTAGTCATGGTAGAGAAGCTTACCCTCGCTGTGCTCCTGCTAAAGGAGGGTGAGAAAAAGCTGGACATGTTTTAATCGGATGCCCTAGAATTTGCTTGTTGAGCACTGTTGCTAAATATTTTGTAGTTTTTCGAGTTATACTTTATGAATGACAGATTGTTCTTCTGTATGTTATTCAGCTTATGGTGGTGATCCATATTAAGAACATTTCGATTATCCCAGAAGGTTCCTTCGTCCCCCACCTACCTCCCCATGTACTGATGTTTCTGGCAACACAGCTCCAGTCAACTGTGTTTTTCACCTTAGCTTCTCTAGTTCATTTTTATGTTGACTAAGGTTTATATTACTACTCACTCTCTTGAGAGTAACACTGACATAATAGGATAGTTCATTTAAATTTTTTAAACAATCCTTAGTTGAAGTTTTATTTGTGTGTAGTTTCTTTGTAAATTTGTTGCATTGGAAATGTATATGTGTTCCTTCTTTATCAAGTAGCTATGTTAACCCCTCAAATAATTCTGGTTTTGTTTATTTTAGTCACACGTTAATTTCGGTTTCAGTCTTTGGATCATGTTGGCATAGGTTTACTCTGATACTGTCTGCTGCTCCCTCAATAGAGATGAAGTCTTTTGTGATGTTTTCTATGGTGAAATGGTTGGGACCTGCAGGATAGGCCAGGTTAAATGACCCACGGTGTTTCTGTTATTTTTCTGTTGCTCAGAGAGAGGCTCAGTGAACCATTGCATTTTTTGCCAACCACCACCTACTGAGACAGCACTTTTTGGTTCATACCTTTATTGTGACGTCTTCATTCCTGTCTTACAGGCCAAACTTCCAGATTTGCAACCGTTTCCTTCTCCAGATGGTGATACTGTGACCCAGCATGAGGAGCTGGTCTGGATGCCTGGAGTGAATGACTGTGACCTCCTTATGTACTTGAGGGCAGCAAGGTAATAGCAGCCAGCCACGTCCTCCTTTCTCTGGCCATCCGGACTGTTTAGCAGGCAATAAACTCTCCTTTGTCCTGGAATTTTATTTACCTGTTGAGCATTCTCTGACTTGTTTTCTGTGCCCTCTGTAACCAGGGCCCTGGTCTTCTTACCAGATAAGAATAGTTTACCATGGTAAAGTCGTTTTTTTTCTTCCTGGAATTTGACCCACATCAGACTTTGAAACTCTTCAGAAGGAAAATATCTTATCACACATGTGATTAGCTGCCCTTCTTACTCCAGCTGAGTAATGGAGTCAGTCACCCTGCACCAGCATGGTTGTTCCCTACTGCCCAGTCCAAACTGGACATTTTGTGGCTTACCTACATGAGAATGTTCCCCTGTGACTTCTTGTAGAACCTGCTAATATGCAAATGTCAAACATACGGAAGTTTAAATCTTTCCAAGTACATCGTCGTATAGGCAGAGATTTTTTGTCTGCAGTGTTTTGGGGACTTACTGCAGCATTGCCAATGTACAGCAGAAAAAACTCGAAAGGCTCGAGGCATCAGAATTCTTGCTCTGGCTGGCCATGGTCAGCAGCACTGTGCATGGTGTTACTTAATGCAGGAGAGAGAGGATGTGTACATGGAATAAATGACTACTAAGACTTTATCTCTACACATTTTACTTTTAATTCACCTAGAGGAAGTTGATGTATAGGTAAAGGAATTAAATTCAGAGGAGTTAATTTCAAGTGTTTTTCTAGAGACTTTTTCAACTTTTTCATGAATACATAGCCGTTAGCCATATGGAAACATTTTGTTTTAGTTTTTTGGCAGTATTGAGGATTGAACCCAGGGCCTTCCCGCTGAGCTATATCCACAGCCCTTTAATCTTTCATTTTGGGATAGTGTCTCACCACGTTGCCCAGGCTGGGTTTAAACTTGTGATCCTCCTCCCTCAGCCTCTCAGAGTGCTGAGATTACAGGCGTGTTTGACCACACCTGGCTGAGATTTCTTTCAAAATATCCTAATCTAAAACGGTATGGTAAGGGCTAGGGATTTAGCTCAGCGGCATAGCTCCTGCCTGGCAAGCGCAGGTTGTGAGTTCAATTCCCAGTACCAGGAAAAAAAAACCCAAAAAATCATAATAATAATTAAAAAATAAAAAAGTATGGTAGCAAATGCACTGAAATCTGAACCTTACTATGAAAGCAAGAAAAGAATGGGTCTGACCTAAAGCAATTTTTCTATTTCTGAAAGATGAAGGGTTGCAGGAGTAGAAGCAGTACTAAGGACTCTGGTTTATATATAAGCAAATAGAAATGGAATTGTGTCTGAGCTGAAATATATTTTGAAAATTGAGGGGTAAAATCTCTGTACTGAGGTTCCTGTGTGCTGATAAAGACAAAACTCCCTTTCTTCTGAAGGAGCATGGCAGCGTTTGCAGGGATGTGTGACGGAGGCTCCACGGAGGACGGCTGTGTCGCTGCATCTCGGGATGACACCACCCTCAATGCACTGAACACAGTAAGTCTTTGGAAGTGGCCCTGGGCAGGAAGACAGTGCTTTCCCATTATCTGGCTGTAGGGAGAATGTGATGAACATGGAGTGGTCTCTGGAGTGAGCACTGGACTGTGTTGCTGGAAGACGAGACTTGGTTCTCCAGGTTCATGTCCTCATATGGGTCTGCGCTGCAGATTTGGGGAGCCACAGTGAGGTCCAGCAGTGGTACTTGATGCCTTGAGACCCGACAAAGCGAGCGCTGTGCATGTATCGTTTTTGTGAATCCTAACGCCGCTCAGAAGAAAACTGTATTATTGTCACCTTTTTATTTTTATTTTTATTTATTTATTCTTTTATTGTCACCTTTTTAGACACAAGAAAACAGATTTAGAGAAAGTAAGTCACAGTCCAAGGTAACATAGTAAAGATGTAAATGCAGAAGCTGTGTATTTAGCCTTCTTTACTGGATTTCTCATTGTGCATTTGAGAGTGCTTGGAAAGATAAAGAAGAACCTGGACTTTTTTGGATGAACTTGTTTATTTTGGATCATTTAATTTGTCACATTATAAAACAAAGTTGTTTTAAAAATAATATCCCTAAGAAATCAAAAGTGAGGGGCTGGGGATTTAGCTCAGCGGCAAAGCGCCTGCCTGGCAAGCACAAGGTCGTGAGTTCGGTTCCCGGTACCGGAGAAAAACCAAAAAAAAAAAACAAAAAAGAAATCAAAAGTGAAATGACATAAATGAGTCTAACAGTACTGTTTGTTACATGATCACCATAGTTGCTTGTTTACTTTAATCTTCTGATATCTACACAGCAATGCAGAATAAATGCACACTACTACAAGCTCTCTGACTATTGATACCAGTTTATTATTTTTTGACATTTCATTTTGGCCTTAGAGTACATCTTTTGTTTTGTTTTGTTTTGTTTTGTTTTGTTTTCCAGTACCAGGAATTGAACTCACGACTTTGCACTTGCCAGGCAGGCGCTGTGCCACTGAGCTAAATCCCCAGCCCCTCTTAGAGTATATCTTAAGGGCTGTATTGGAAATTTACTGTATTTTGAAGTTACATGAAATAATTCTTGTCTGTGTGCATACTAATGCCAATTCATTAAGTTGGAAGAAGTAATAATACTTGATATTTACGAATCAGTTCCCTGCCAAAATAGAATACATGTTTATGTATACTTACATAGGACATTAAACATGAGGCTGCACAGTTCTAATGCTTCACCAGTGTATTTGAAGCCCCACACCGACCCCAGAGCCCTTTTTTTCTTGAGAGGTCATTGTAGTTGGAAGAGATTCACAGAATCATCTGTTTAATCTTTAAATAGATAAGAATCCAAGGCCAGATGACTTATTGAATGCCAACAATCCCAAAAGCTTATAACATAGGAAAGAAAATCATCCACATTCCTAATTTAGGGATCATCTTACTACACAGTGCTATACAGTTTGCTGTTTAGGAAATAGACACAGAAATCAGTATGATGTGATTGATTGTAATTCCAAGTGTAATTATGGCTTGGGGCATTACATAATGTTATAATAGTTTCTTGATGTTGGAGGTTGATTGGTCTTTCTGGGGCTACACTATTCTAAGTCACTGAGTGTTTCATATTTCCCAAAAATGCGCTTGTCACTCGTATACTTTCTTGTTTAATAAGTAGCCTGGGTTTTGTTTTTTGTTAACAAAAAGACAGCCGTGGTGGCTCATATCTGTAATTTCAGCTCTCAGGAGACTGAAGCAGGAGGAACATGAGTTCAAGTCTAGCCTAAGCTATATAGTGAAACCCTGCTCCAGAAGGAAGGAAACAAGAGCGGGTGGAAGGAATCTTTATTATGAATATATAATGATATGGCCAATTTCTTAGTGTTTTTTTATGAATAACGTGACAGATGTAGACCTGTGTGATACTGCTAACAGAATAGGTGGAATGTGTGAATTTATATACATTGTGTATACATTCAAGGACAGCCTCTAATATAGACTTCTCTGTTGAGATTTTTGTATAATGGCTGTGTTGGTTTGGGGCTTATTTTGCAAGGGGAACAATATAATACAGGACACATACTTTATATGATTATTTATAAGAGTCACCCAAAGAATAATATACAAAAGAGTGCAGGAAATCTCTCCACACACTAAGACCAAGGAATCCAGCTGAGGGCCTGGATCCCACAACAATGTCCTACGTGAGTCCAGCTGAATACCTAGAGCTCATAACAATGCCTCCCACGAATCCAACTGGAGGCCCAGAGCCCATGACAGTGTCTCATGCAGTCCTGTTTCACGGATCTGCTGGGAAGGCCCAAAGGTCAGTGGTGGAATCTACAAAGTTTGTGCCAGCAGGATGAAGGATCTGTGCTAGCAGGCTGAGGGATCTGCACAGGAGCCAGGAAGTGATGCTCAGAAGAACCAGAGCTCCCTGAGAAGGTACCACAGCCATCCTCGGCAACAGTGAGGTCCCAAGCTCCTCCGATGATCAGGATGGCCGAGTTCCCATCAGGGAAGCCAACGCAGCAAGCTTCTCCAGGAGGCCAGCAGTGCACCATCTTCCCCTCTGGAACCAGGAAGTGAAGCTCAAAGTGAGGACTAGAGCTCCCTCAAAGTGAGCCAAAGCCATTCTCAGTGCCAGTGAGGTCCCAAACTCCTCGGAGGTTGAAAACAGCCAAGTTCATCAGGAAAGCCAGCTCCCCACAGCTTCTACCATCTCCCAGCAACCTCTCTCAGGTCCCAACAGCCCTGTTTTTTGTTCTCCAGGTCTGCCCCTTATGCTGCAGGCAACAGTCCCCAGGGGGCCCTCCCACACCCAGCACCACACTCACTCAATTCAGCTGGGGGTTATAAGTTGACCACCAGTTATCAATCTACTACAACGGCTTTATAAAAATTCTGCTTCCATGACTGGGTTAATCAGTTGAGTTTTGAATAATGAAGATTTTACTGTATTTAATTAAACGTCTATTTTTGGCACTTCATTCTTATTCCAAGCCCTCTAAGGATTCTGTAGAACAAATTCTATACAGGAATAATATCAGCTATTTTTATCCATGGTCCTTTGTGGCAAGTTCCTTTGGAAGGTTTCATTAGCACTGCTGGTGTGTTTTCTGTCCTTAAAAGATTTTATTTTCATGAAGTTGCCTTCCCGTCATTTCATATTCTTTCCGTCTTGCTGGCTGGAGCTGGCTCAGATTGTGTTATGCCACACCCTTACGTTTAGGCACTGAGGGATTGTGTACTGTGTGCATGTTTTGTGATCAGTAGAAGAGTTTACTGCTGTTTTAGTTTTTTTACTTACTTATTGTACTGGCTTGAAAGAGGTTGGTTACAGACACTTGCTTAATGAAAAGTAACATGAATGAAAAAGTCTTATGAGAAGTTAATGTTCAATTACCTTAGAGTAGTAGAAAATATGAATTGAGTGAGACAAAAAATTAAAAACACATACATTGTTGTGTGCAAAATATTTATTTCTTTAGAGTGATTAAAACTAGATTAGGCATTTATAGTGTAGAATAAACCTGAGCGGTTAGTGTCTAGTGTCATTTCCTGAGGCAATATAGAAGTTTAAAATACGTGAACTTTTACCTCTTTATGTGGCCTATTTTATAATGGACCTAGTTTTAAATGTAAGATCTTGGGTTACTTATTTTGACTTTTTTCCTTCAGTATTCTCAAATGAAAGTTTCAGCATATTAAGTGTGTGTGTGTTTGTGTGTATGTGTATACATGCAGGAGATTGAATCCAGAGCTTCTCACATGCTAAGCAAGTGCTCTACCACTGAGTTACACCCCTAGCTCAGTATGCAACTTTGAAAACAACTTTTTAGGATATAATTTATAGAGAATAAACTCTTCTGATCTAAAGTCCATAACTCGATGAGGTTTTTTCCCCCAGATTACACATCTGTGAAAGAACTAACATGACCAAGATACAGAAATTTCCAAACTTCCCAAGAGTTGCCTGATCCCATTATAGTTTATAGCAGCTTCTAGTCTCAGATACACCTTGATATGTTGTCTGTCATTGTAGTTTGCAATTCCTAGAATGTTATGTGAATGGAATCATATATATATACACTTTTGGTTCTAACTCCTCCCAGTATACTAATTATGAGACCTATTTATGGTGTCTTGTATGTCAGTAATTTGTTCCATTTTACTGAACTCCACTGAATAGATTCACAATTTCATGCATTCATCCGGTGCTGCACATTTCAGTTGCTTCCAAACCTTTGGTAATTATGAATAAAGATTTTCTGAGCATTGCAATACAAACCTTTGTATGGACTTACATTTTTACTTCACTTGGGGTAGAATGGCAGAATTCTTTATGAGTAGGTATCTTTTATGAAACTGTCGAACAGGTTACCACTTTATGTTCTCATTAGGAGTGTGTTAGAATTTTACTTTTTGTCATTTTCACTGAAACTTGGTATCAGCAGACCTCTTAATTTTAGCTTTCTTATGGGTGTGTGGTGTTATAGAAGTGTTAATTCCAATTTCTTGATTGTTAGAGGTTGTATTACTCAGTTTTCTCACTGCTGAGATGTAATGCCTGGTGCCCACAGCTTAAGGAAGAGGTATGGTTTGGCTCACGGTTTCAGGGGATTCAGTCCATGGATCTCGGACAGAAGCACCGTAGTGGAAGGGTGTGCTCCGGCAGAACTGCTTAGATCAGGGTGGCCCAGAAACAGAGCTCAGAAGAATGCCCAAGCAGAAGGGGCCAGACCAGACATCATTTGCAGGACCTTGCCTCCCTGACCCACCCAGACAGACCTGAAAATGTGCTCCACCAGTCCCCTGCGTGGATTGAGTTGGAACGCCTCCCTAACTGCCACCATGATGTTGAACAGCTTTTCATCTATTTCCTTTTTGTATAACTCCTTTCATGAATTATATGTTCAAATATCTTGTGCAGTTTAAAAATAGGGGTTTTTTTTCCCTTTATAATTGAGTTGTAAGAGTTCTTTTTATCTTCCAGAGAGGAATCCTTTGATATATGTTTTCTC